CAGTGCTTACCGGCTCAGACTACCACTTAGGGAATCATAGCATCATCAAGGCTGGAGGAGACCTCTAAGATCATCAAGTCCAACCATTAACCTGTCACAGCTGTAACCCCTAAACCATATCCTCCAGTGCCAGATCCAGATGCCTCTTAAACACTTCCAGGGATGGTGACTCCACCACCTCCCTGGGCACCCTATTCCAGTGCCTGACCACCTTCACAGTGAAAACATTTTTCCTAACATCTAATCTGACTCCTCCCTGTCTCAGCTTACAGCCGTTCCCTCTAGTCCTCTCACTGCAGCCATGGCAGGAGAGACCATCCCTCACCTCTCTACCCCCCACCTCTGAAGTGCTCATTGGTCCATGTTTCTGTTAAATGTTTAAAATACTTAACAATTATCTAACTCAAATTAAACTATGCTTTCAAACATGCTATGTCGTGGGAGAACTGTATTAGCCAGCTCATGCATTATGCTCCACAAACTACCAGCTCACTCTCACAAAAGATACACCATTAGTGCATCTTATTTTTACTTCTAAAACAATGCTCTCAGACATTCTCAGACAACAAAAAGATTTAACACTGAGATTACCGGGCGAAAGCTTTAGGAAATGCATATACTCCGCTTCTGCTCGTACTAAAAAGAATGATGGCAACAAAAAGAGAGTGTAAACAAATAATAAAATACAGATACTTTCACTGCTTAGGAATGACTTGGGCAATGGCAGACAAAACCAAAATAACCTTTCAAAAAAGTTAATGTTTACCCATTTAAGTAGTTGGCAATATGAAAGAGTCATCTCTTTGGGCTGCAGAGTTACCATTCTTTTGAGAGAGAACACAGACTATCAAGAGTTTAGTAGCTTTTTGAAGATTTAATTCCTGCAACTTGTTTCAGCTAACAGGAAGTGTGACATACTTGCAAGACATTCTGTAGTAATGAGGAGCTGTAAGTTGCAAAAATATTTTTAAATATCAATTTGAAAGTGTTTAATTTAAACAGTTTATATATTAAAGTGCAATTCTTTATGTAAGAATGCTAAAAATACATAGAATTGTAACAGTGCAGCTTCTATTTACTATTTATCTTAGGAGTTAAACTTTTTCTTAATTTGCTTGAGAAACAGCTTTGTTCCTCCAACAAAGACCACTATTCCTGGCATTTCAGAATTAAGGGATGCAAAACATGCATAGTGATTAGCATGGTCTTTGTGCTGCTCTTGCTTTGAGGCCACATACTGTTACTCAGGAGTACAAGATCAGGAGGTACATTGCCACAGAACTACACAGAGTGCAGCTGTGCACACTGTTTGGTGCCTGCACCACTCGAAGCCACGTGTTACCCTCAATATGTGAGATGTGCTTCAGCACTACAAAGCCACAAGGTTCACAATGACAGGAATCTTCACTGAGGCAGAGGAAATGGGGCTGCTATTCAAAAGCTAGTCAGCAAAAGTGAAGTCAGTGGCATGGGCTGGAATTAAAAAAAGATAAGGTTGTATTGCAGGGCTGTCAAAAAACTCATTTCCCTACTGGGAGGGATGAATCAGTGGATTTCACAGCAAGTGCCCACAAGTTCATTCCTATATAACATAGCAGCAAGGTCATGTTCTGTTCCTACAATAGATAAAAAGGCATTGATTTATATCAACAGCTTAACTGGAATCTGAAGTACTGTCCAAAATTTGCAGACAGCAAGAGAGAGCTGAAAATCTACTTCAAGCATTTTGTGATGGATGTTTTAAGAACTAGACTGATATGAGCACATATTTTTATATAAAAACCATTTTCTCCATCATTACTTACCTGAAATCCAGTCACTGCAGGGAGTTTGCTGCTGCAATATGTTCACACATTTTCCACTCTTAGAATTGTAGATTCTTGATAAAGTCTTACCTTTGTTATCGCCTTCCCCTTACCTTTATTATAAAATTATTACGAGTAAAGGTAACCATTATCGTGTCAGATGGAGGAAGTGTTCTGTAGCTAGCAGTTATCCTTTAGAGATCAATTGTGATCCCAGTTTAAGACTCCCAAGTCAATTCCTAAGGACGACAGTGTACAGACAGACATGGCTAATGGGACTGGGAAATAAACGACTTAGGTAGGAAGGAAAAAAAAAAGGCAGTTCCCTCACAGCCAGTCCCATGGTCTCCTGCACTAAGAGCCATGGTGGGTTCAATCCAGGGAGTAGAACAGCTGCTGTCATGAAGCTGGGGCAGGAACATGAGAGAACAGGCATGATGTCTACAAAGCTGCCACTCCAACAGGCCTTTTATAAGTAAGACTGTAATACTACATAATTTTGATTTAAAACTGGTGCTTACCAACAACATTAAGAATTATAGTGAGAACTGGACAGAATGACTCAATGGCATCAGCCGCTTCAAGGTGAGCTACCGTGAAAGCTTCAGTAGACATTAAAACAGTATTTCTAAACAAGAGGAATGAGTGTTAAGCTTAACTGCAGACCAGTTTAAATCTCCATACAAAATACAAAATAAAATTTGGTAACAGTTTGCCTGCAGGATGTCTGGAGTCAGTTTTCTGTATACACCGAAGTTCTCCAAACTCTTCCAATTAGTTCTTTGCAGAACAAAAACGATAATTCATTCAAGAATCTCTACTGACAGTACACATCTCCCATCCAGGATTTAAGGAGGTTATCAACACTAGCAGAGCCCTGAGGATGACTCAGGGTGGCAGCCCCAAGACTGTGGTGGCTGTCCCAACCCTGGCAGTGTTCAAGGCCAGGCTGGATGAGGCCTTGAGCAACCTGGTCTGGTGAGGAGGTATCCCTGCCTGTGGCAAGGGGGGATGGGACTAGATGATCTGTAAGGTCCATTCCAACCCCTAAATTCTATGACTTTGTGATTCTATGAATTAAGCCTTTTTTTTTTTTGTTTTTTACTCTGAGTCTTTTCATACCTATGTTTAGTAGAACTTGTTCAAGCTTAGTTTAACTTTGTCCTTCCAAACATTAATAAACTAACTCTCCCTCTGCATTTTTTTCAATAGCTAAACTCATTTCAGAGTGGCACGGTACTATCACTCAGTAATGTCAAGTTCACAACCAAGCACACCCGTCTCTTCTGAACTGTCCACAGATGATGCTTATTACTGCAAAACTGCCATGAAGTAGAAATCTATTCAGTTATAATGAAGTGCTAGGAAGTGATACCATGAATTTCAACATCTGTACTGAGAAGGGCTGGTTTGGGCTGTTGCTTTGGGTTTGGTTTGTGTTTGTTTTTTCTCAAAAGCAGCAAGTAGTAGCTTGTGCAGTAATAAAGACAGGCATTTGATATTGCTATTTATTTCTTTTTAAAAATTAGACAATTCTCAGTGTAATATTCCAGCAACATGCTACTAAGCGCTCTATACACTCTTTTCTTCAGAATAATTCTAACTAGGTCTTGGCAAGGATAAACCAAGTATGAATTACTTTAACAGTACCAACGAGAATTACACCAGTGGAGAACTCCTCCCCCGAATCTGACATTCTATGTGTGAAATTGCACCACTCATATTTAATACTGTGTTGTCTTAAATAACCCTTAAAATACAAATATTTAGTTTCTCTACTAGAAACATTGTGTGTATATTTTTCCATCTTATTCAGAATAAGAAAATGAAAGTTTCCATGGGCATTAATGGGAGTTTCAACGAGGGTTTCAGGCTTTAAAATGGTGCCTGAACCAGTTCTTCCACAGAGTCCTTAACTAAAATCTACACACTTTCAATAACTATTTTTGGCAGTGCAAGTTGTGTCCTCCCAAAAAGTTTTAATGAAAACCATTTTAATTAAAACTAGTTTGACAGTCCGAATATGAGATGTCAAACTACAGGATACTAAATAATTTTTGAGATTTGTCTGTATATCTATAAATGAAACTTCCCTCAAACATCCCATGGAACAGAAACAATCGTGGTAGCAATTAAAAGACTTTCAGTTGTCAGATTCAAGGTCACTAGTTAAATTATTCAGACATTTTTATTTCTAGCAGAGACAATCTCTTATAGGCATGTATGATTTTGTATGTTGTTTCCTAAACTGTTTAGAAGCACACTCTTATATTCTCTATTTTACAGTGTTGTGCTTTTTTGCTTATTCATCTGTACCAGTTTTTAGCTGAAAATTATTGTTCAATTTGTACAAATCACCCATTATTTAAACTGTATAATTACATTTCATGTAATCTCACAATTTCATTGGGTAATTAAGTGATTCTCTACAGCTTTTTTATCAAAAAAAAAAAAGCAATATACAATTAATGAATCCCTGTAGGAATTTTTCCCCCTCAAAAGCACTGACATTACATATTTAAATACATTGAACCAAATCCTTGGGCATGTCTGATGAGTTGTGCAGAAACCAGACATGCATGCAAAATGGCTCAAAGCTCACCTGTCACAAAGGACTGGATCCTATTGCAGGGCTATATCCTCATCACAGAGAGAGGAAAAAGAAAGTGTGAATGTCTAAATTACATGAGCTGTACAGATACAGGGGACCTTCACGCAGAAGGAAAGCCCAGTAGTATATGCTCTCTTAACTTAAATTCTCCAGCATTTACTGTGGTATTTTAGAACTGCATATGGAAAGGGTACATGGAACTCTATAGCACCAGAGGATTAGTCTCAAAATCCTCTCTGGGCAAATTACACTGAATTTAGGGCCAGTTTAGGGCTGGTATTTTAATTTTCAATAGCTATACTATTCTAGAGGATCTAGCCCATACCATCATAGTGCAAATGCAAGCTCTGGTATAGATACCTTCTGGTAACAAACAACATAACTTTAACAAACAGAGATACATTTTGTTAGTGAGCATAGTACACGTACTCTGTTCTGCACCCAGGCACCATCTTCCATTGCTGAGCTATCCACTTTTCAGAACCCATTTCAAAAATAACCTTTCCTTAGATACTATTAAAAGTAAATGATATGGGTTTTTTTCTTCAGTAAATTAATAAAGTACAGTATCAACTGATTCTTCCAAAGTCATTTCAGTTTTAAATGGGCTGGAAAAACTTACAAAGATTAATGATAATTTCAGAATAGTACCTAGTTCACAAACATTTTGTTTGTAATGAGAAAATTTTGTCTGTGACCGAAAAAATAACATCTTCCAGCGATTTACAGACAGTATTTTAGATGCCACCATCACCTGAAGTTCTGATGATAATGCCTTGCACTGACAAAACACTGTCCTACTGATGATCAACATTCATCTTCTTTATGTGATGAAGCAGGGCATCTTTTTCTGCTTGGATCTCAGCAAGAGCCATTTTGGCTTTGGCTAGTTCCTGTTTGAGACATTCATTTTCTTCAATAAGCTGAAATGATCAGGTTAGAAAGGAAAGCTATTAGTGTTCCTGCAAACTGACAACTTTTTTCATTACAGTAACTTTTAAAATACCATATGCTCACATTCATTGCTGGGCACAGTTTTGTTGGGGCTGAGTCAATTGCAACGGATTCCCAGTCAATGAGTGTAGAACACAGGGAGAGTTGGTGCAACTAGGTTGAGAGGCAGGACAGCCAGTGTTTTAGCTCTGCTGTTTTCATTCTGGAGTGGAGTGGAAATGACCCCAGGTTCTGAGCTCTAGGAACAGGTTCTTACCCATTGGAAAAAAACAACCAAATTGCTGTATGGGTTCTGTCATTACCAATTCAAAATCCAGGTATGACTGATAGAGCAGTAACATTACGGCTAAACTGCCTAGCCCCTTGTCTTCGGCAGTTGTATTGTACAGGGACCAGGGAGATGGGGAGAAAACAATTCCCTTCTAAAACTCCGACGTAATGGAGACAGATCAACGTGCACTGTGTTCCCACCCTATTTAAAAAGGGGTATTTAATTTATTTTGTATGCCAAAGTACTGAAACGTACTTTAACATCCATGATATTTTCCATCTCAAACAGATTTCTAAACTGAAGTAACCCCCAAGCCCATCCCCAGATAATCTGACAATTATGATGATTAATGATTGTAACAGGATTTGGAGGGGGCAAGGGGAACTGAAAATCAATTCTTAATACCTCATTTTTAAGGAAGTCAGCTGAATCCCTGCTTGACTTAAGTCTGGGAATTTCACACGTAGTCTGCGTGGCTTGGTCCTGTGTTTTACATCCAACAGGTCCCACTGCTTGTTGCAATGCACTACTTGAATTCTTCATCTTTGATACATCATTTACTTTTGGATTGTCTATATCACAGAAAGATATTTAAGAGTAGGAGTTTTGTCTCTTTTTTTTCAAGGCCGATTCTTACCAGTACAAAATCAAAACCACCTAAAGAAATATACTCTGAATATTAAGTACATTTTTGATATTTGTACCACACAAAGAACATATTTTCCTCTAAAAATCAACTTTAAGAATGAAAAAATAAACTCATATAACCTTTTAGAGGAAAAAAGGAAAGGAGGCATGAGAAGAAGCAATATGTAAGTTCCAGCCAGAAGAAAATAACCACGTTTTTATACTGAGCAATATTATGACCACAGAATATGCACTCTGCATAATCAGAAGTTTGAGAACTATCAATATCACTATTAATATACTGTGCTCTGGTCTCTCTGAAGGCTGCATTTACATTTGAAGACACAGTGAGATAAACATGCAGGATCAAGTTTTTAAATTAGAAAATAAATTACTTGGCATTGAAGAAACTTTCCAGCACTTGTAACTGAAATCCACTATAATATCTGTTAAAATATACTGCTGTACACCAAGGGGAAAAATGAGGGCCATGGTTCTCAGTAGTCTACAAAATACTCTGTGGTAGTCTTTTTTAAAAACCATTTCCTTCTAAACAAGAGTTTTCTGTTCATTACCTCCTCCTGTCACCACAGATACATGAGGACTCAGAAAATTTAGCACTGCAGACACATATCACTGCAGTGCAGATAGCATTTAACCTGTGCCTTTGAAGTCACTGGACCTGAGCAGTCCAAGACAAGAACAGGGATGAAAGCACTTGAGTAAAAAAGGGAAAACTATCAGCTGAAAGAGAACTGAAAAGGGTGTATTTTCTCACTGAAATTCCAATGTTTAGTATAAAAAGATGACCAGAATGCACTGAACATCTTCGTACACTCAAACAATATATTAGATAACGTGGAGAAACTAAAATACAAGCAAATCATGCCACAGCATACCTCTGACAAGTCTGGTCCCTCTCCGTTATACCTTCCCATCAGGTAGATGAAGGGGGCATTAGGAGCACCCTGCTGCCTCCTCTTCCTCAAGCCATACAATGCATTGCATATGGCTGGATTAACATATCTGGGACCTGGATGAAAGGGTGGATGCATCCTTTGCTTTTTTCTGAACCCCACCAAACTGAAGGGTGAGTGACTGACACACTGATGGGCAAAGCTGTTTTTCAGAGGAACCTGGACAAGCAGAAGAGATGGATCGACTGGAGCCTCATGAAGCTCAGCTGCAGCCAGTCGGAAGTCCTGCAGCTGGGAGTCAATAACCTCTTGCTCTGCTGCAGGTTGGGGACCAATTGGACAGAAAACAACACTGCAGGCCTTGGTCAACAAGAATTGTCATAAGTCAGCAGTGAGCTCTGACAGCAAAAACCAGGGACTTACAGGCTGCACTAGCAAGGGTACATCTAGCAAGATGAGGGAAGTTATTATTCCCCAATACTTGGCACCAATGAGACCACACCCAGAATACTGGATTCAGTTTTGGATTCCCTAATGTGAGAAAGCTACCGACAACAGACAACCACCAACATAATTGTGGCCAGGAGCACACGATGTACAAATGAGGGGCTCAGCAAGATGCACTCATCAAGTCTGGAGAAGGCTGTGTGATGATCTTAATGCCACCTTTGTCTGCCTAGTGGAAAGCTATGGAGAAGATGGACCAGATATCCAAGCACTCAAGCACCTCTGTCTTGACATGACAGGACAGAAGGCAATGGACACAAGCTACAACAAAGTAAATTTTAATTACACATTACCAAAAAAAAATAAAAAAGAACCATAAGGGTGGTCAAACACTGGGACAGATTATTTATGACAGGTTGTGGTATCGTCTTTTTGATGCTCAAAACTTGCCTGGACATGGCATTGAGCAACTTGATCTCATCTGCCCCTGCTTTGAGGTAGGAGTAGGACCAGACAACCTCTAGAAGTTTCTTCCAACCTACATTATGATTCTCTGACATATCTGTGAAAGACATCAGTAAAGTTCCAGCTTTTTACGGATTGCCTTGTTATTTAGTATTTGCCCATACATGTGAAAAAAACTTTCAGTGCATATATGCTTCATGAAAAGTACCAAGTTAAACCACTGTTCTAAATACAAGTCACGGTGCAATCCCACCATGAGCTGTCAGGACAGCACCAGGACATACAGAATTGGAAACTGTTACTTGTACTTCTCAAATAGTCTTTTGTTTTATAGTAGTATCTGTTACTACCTCTAACACAAAACCACAAAGACAGTAACCACCTTGGTAATCTGTAAAGTAGGGCAATTTTTTGGTTTGGTTTGTAGCTAAAGAAACCTTAAACTTCCCATGATGAAGTCATATGCATATTTTTATTTCTCTCTGGTTGATTCAGCTGTGGGTTGTTATCACAACCAATACACTATTCAAAAAGGTAAATTTTCTCCTATGTGACCCCACTTAGAATTAAGGTAGAGTTACACAAATTATCATTGGTTATCTTTTCATTATTAGCCACATGGCTGCACAGAGGAAAAAACCAATAAGATTATAAATTTCAGATATCAAGGTACAGGAACATACAAACCTCTAATGAGAAAAGTGCCATCATCATTTCTTTCTATCCAGAGTATGTCAATATGCAGCTTTATGGGTACCAGTTCAGATGCCTTGAGATTTTCACGTGGGCTGTCATCCTAAAAAAATACATGTATTCAAAAATGAGTTTACCAGAAAATCAAAATAGCTAATTAGGATGTTCACTTAAGCATAAGTGGATTTAATGAAACTTGGAAGGGAATATTTCAGAGCAGAATTTTCTAATGGGATCTCCACTAAACTTTGGCTCCATTTTTTTCCCCCAGGGATCATATTAAAGGCTCAAATTTATCTCTGGAGTAAGTCTGCTGAACTCAATATATAGTCTAAGTCTAATACTTCAAAGTATTTTTAAAGGCATCTCAATAAGATTATATCCCAACTCAAGACATTCTTTAGCTCAGGAGCTCTCAGAGTCAGAGATAAGAAACCTGAACTATATAGTATCTGATTTTCCCTTGAACTATTTAAAGACTGAATGGGTGCAGTCTTGAGCAGATTTTGTCTTTTCAGAATTTAGTTTGGGATGACAACAGCTGCAGTTTAGTTATATTACTGCATTCAGCAGAAGAGAAACTTCACAAATTACTTCATTGGGGGTCTCCCCAGGAAGTCTTTATAGTTCATTATCCCTGTCAAGCAGAATAACACAGCCACTATAATCAGAAACTGTACGCATCAGCATTAAACACGTACCAAGAAAGCTGTTGAGATAGAACTGCCAAAGTTTCTTGAAACAGCATTGAGATTGCAGTAGAAAATGCAAACAATAAAATAATCTTTCTTAAATTCTTTCCCTGCCATAAAACACACTGCCTCAAGTCTCATGCAGAAGAACATACTGCACAGAATAGGCAATGCAGCATACATTTGAACCATATCCTCTCACTCTTTATTACCCAACAGCTCTATAGAAAGGAATTGTCTGTATGTCAAATTTGCAGTTTGTCAACTATTATGAGTAAGTTCACCACGACTTGTGTGTATTGCTGAGTGAGCACTTCAGTGCTTTTGCTGCCAAGCGGATTCTTGTTGCCAGTTTATTAATGTACATCCCCCACCTCAAGCAGCTGTTTTTTGAAGAATATTTTGCTTAAGTCTGCCTTCTTGACAATAAACCAGCACAATCCTGGTTTTTAATGTAAATGACTATATGTAAAGAACAGATCCACAGCTTTTACAGAAAGTGCTTGTGCTAATCCTGTAGTAGAAAACAGCTCTAAAAGAGTGCCTAAGGATCCCCAAGGGATGGAAAAACTGCATCACAGAGGGAAGGTACTGATGCACTTCGAGTAGAGCACCAGAGAGATAACAACTGACCTTCCAGTCAAGCATGATCTTACCAGAATCAAGGCCTTAGTCTTAGATGTAACACTGGAGCTGCTCTTCCAGTCCTCACTTTGTTCGAAGTTTCTATCTGTGATTATTATTTTCCCAAGCAATGTTATAACTATTTTTACATTTACACTCCCCCAAAAAACGTGTCCTTATCACAGACTCATAGAATCAACCAGGTTGGAAAAG